CCGGCAGGTGTCCGATGCTGGCCAGGCACCCTCCTTAGCTACAACAGCAGGGGTTGTTTGGGTTTTGATTGCTAAGGTAAACAGGCTACTAAGTTCAGAAAGTGAAAGCGTAGTCCTTCCCATTTTAACTCCACCCCAGAGGAAGAAATGCAAGTTTTAAAATTTCCTACTTCCTACAATTCTTAACGAGTCACTAATGTTCAGTCTTCCATATTATTTCTCCCTTACGTGCAATGGAATTTGTATTCTTTTATAACTTAATAAAATTTTTCTTGTTAATACCTGCTTTTAATAATAGTCATTTTAATGGATGCATAATATTCCAGAAAACCGATACCCTTCACCACACCCTTATTGTTGGACTTTTAAGATATTTACAACTTTTCATTAGATAATGCTGCACTGATTTTTTTTCTTAAATAAAAGCTTTTAAAATAAAAGTTTTAAAAATAATTTAATTTATTTAAATATTATTTTGCCTTTAGTTTCTATCTCCAAAACTATATAAATCCAGTCATTGAGAAGCAACTACTACATATTTTTTAAAAATATTTTTCCTAAATGGGAAAGTAATAAAAATTTTTAAATATATGAAAATGAATGTTATTCATAATCCCATCATCTAGAGATCTCTTGGAAGCATATCAATCTATACTGTACTAAATATAAATATAAACACATACAGTTTAAATATAATTATCTTACAAAAATAGAGCCACATAATATATACTATTTTATAACGCGCTTCACTTAAGGCATGATTAACTTTTACTATGATGCTAACCATGTAGCAGGCCCTGTTGTAAAGTGTTTCACGTATATTTATTGGTTTAATGCTCCTAATACTTCTGTGACACAGCCCTGATAGAGACCCTCACTGTGCAGAAGAGAAGCTTAATCCTGGAAAAGTTACGTGACCTGCCCGGGGTCACACAAGTGAGACGTGGCAAGGTGGATGTATTTAATCCCTGCACGCTCCTGTCTAGCCTTGTGAGTCTGCTTCCCTTTAACACGTCATTAAACTGAGATTTACCTCTTCATTCTCAGTGACTGCGTAGTATTCAGGGGATAGACACCGTGTTATTTAGTTACCCAATACCTTGTTCTTTAGTGTTCAGATTCTGATTTTTTTTATAATAAGCGTTTGTACACACACTTTTATGCACTTATTTCCATAGGATAAACTAAGAACTGGAGTTGATGGGTCAAACGGTAATCTGTGTGCGACAGGGTACCAAGGAAATTGCCCTCTTTCAAAACATGTGTATCAGAAGACCTCTGCCCTCTGTTGGAGGAGTGTAAACTACTGCCTTGCACAACTCCTTTCTCCACTCCACCCACCCACCTCTCCACCCCGTTGCCCAGAATGTCCTAGTTACTGGCCTTTCCGTGAACGCACCATGGCACTGGTGGGTGTTGGGCTGGAGTCCAGGCCATAAGCAGCTATACCTACTGAGCTGCCAGTCTCACCGCATACCATCACCTCCTACATGTCCATGATTTCATTGGGATCTCTAATTCACTGGCCCCAGAATGTTGCCAATTTTTATGGTTCCTTTTATGTCTTTTTAACAATTAAGGTGTAATTTGGCATACCATAAACTACACATAGTTGAAGTGTGCAGTTTGATCATTTTTGATACACAGTCTGTATACACCTACAGACTCATCATGCAGGGAGATTGAAAACGGCAGAAAGACCAGCAGAACAATCCAGCTTCTTCAGGACCTGGAATCCTGACACCAGAAAACAACTGAGCGAAGAAAAGAGGAAATAGGTCTCCGGGAATTAAGACAGTGGTAACAGTAAAGAGACTGGAGAAACTGAAGTGAGCACAGAGGAGAAGAGGACTAAGTGATCCGGAATGCAGATCCCAGCTCCTGGGGACGGGGTCTCCATGAACTCAAGACCCAAGAGGGCGGCAGCAGCAGGGAGAACCAACAGACTGGGCCCTCAATGCTAGCCACAGAAAAGCCCACGGTCACTATAAACTGCAAATGTAGTATGGGCTTCTACTCTGACAGTAACTGCTTCTTCATAGCAGGCTGGAGTTGGAGAAGAAATCCAGGGCAGCGCTCACCATATCGAGAGGGTGCTTTTAAACAGGAGCCATTTTGAGGAAGGGTTAATTGTTTCAGAATGAGCTACGGAACAACTACACGCCAGGGTTTCTGGGGTCACCCCACCACAGCACGGAGCAGGACACAGCCGCGAGACGTTTGCCAGAGGGCATGGCCTAAACACAGACCTCCTGAGAAGTTTAAGCCCAGACTGAGAAGGACCCAGGAGTCTTACCCTGTCTGCTAAGAAGCCAGGCCAGTTGTGCGTGGTGTTCATAAGGGCTGGGTCTGAAAGTGAGTTCAACAGTCTATTCACCCCCATCACTGCCCACAGCCAACACAGAACTGAGCGGTCTGTGTGCTCTCCCCACCCTGCCAGTGTGGTCAGGGCTGCACCTTGGCTTGGACAGTGGACACCGCCCAGAGTACACAGACAAAGGAGCCTCTGGAGCAAGAGGGGACCCTCAGAAAGCCCACAGGCTGTAAAGCTAGGTGGAGAAAGCAGTGACTTGGGGCACACGGCGAGACAGGGAAACTGGGAGCAGCTGGGCGAACACGGCCTGCCCTAGGGAGGACACCACGGATCCCGCACACCCAGCAGGAAAGGCAAGGGCGACTCGGCGTCCACACACGAAACTGTGTGTGATGGGTGGTGACTCGGCTCCCCCGTTACTGGAGGATTCCAGTGCTGCGACCTCGGAGAGCAGCCCCTCGTGTAAACGTAGAGGCGTGCTTTGGACTCGTTTGCTCAGGCTGCTCTCGAGCCTAGGACGCCCTCTCATCTCACTGCCCCCATTGTTTCAATCCGAGCAAGGCTTCCATCTCCAAATCTTCCTAAGTCCTCCCTCCTCTCCTGATCTTCAACAACTATCCCAGCCCACTGAGACTCTTCTTCTCTATTTTAGGGTTGAGATCTAAATTGTCCCCCGCAAACCTCAGGTGTTCAGAGCTCAGATTTCACGATGAGCTTCCACCTTCATCGTCAGCTTCATCTACTGCTGTGATCGTAGTGGGAGGTGACGGGAATGAGGTGGGTCACGGCGACGGAGGGACTCATCTTCTCTCTGCCTCGGAGCCAGTCAACCTAGGACTGAACCCTCTGGAACCAGGGGCCACAGTAAATCTTTCTTCCTCTAAGTTGGTTTTCTTGGGAATTTGCTCACAGCAATGAGAAGCTAAGACAATATTCTATTATGACTTGTCACACACACACAAAAAATGTTACCTACCTGTATCTAAAGCTTGTCTCCCAACCGGATTGTACACTTCTAGTGGTGGGGAAAACTGGCTTGTACTTTTTTTTTTTGCTTTCCCTTTGATACCCAGCTCAGGGTCTCGACGTAATAGATGCTTGGTAAATAAGAGTTGGGCGGGGAACACAGATATCCTTCCTTTTCTGTGTTGTCTCCCTCTTTATGGAGGCTAGCCCGCGGCTTCACAAGGAAATGAAAAGAATGAATTGTTGCAATGAATAATCAGCACAAGCTTTTTGTAAAGACTAAAGCTTTTATTCTTTTCAAAGCCTACTTCTCTGCCTGCTTGGTGGCGAGGACAGCCTCACAGATGCTCTGGGTGATGTAGTCCACGTTGCCGGCATTGATGCACGTGAAGTTTATCCGGCTGTTCTTGTGGACGTAGATGTGCTTCTTCCTGATCAAGTACTGCACCTGTTGGTCTGCATTAGTCACAGGATCTCAGACCCTGGGGGCCACTGCTCATCCCCTTCGGGCCCAGGCAGGGTCATGTGGGATGGGAAGGGTCCACATTTCCGGGACCACCCTGCTTAGCCAGAGGACGTGATGAAAATCCGGAGCAGAGGTGTGGGCTGGTCACCTAGGTGGCAGAATTTAATGTTTCTATAGAAGGATCGAAAGTCGGAAAGGGGAGAGCAGCCCCTCCTGCCCACTCACAGTTGAGTCCAAGATAACCATGGGTCCCAGTCTGCTCAGTGATGTGGTCCCAGGACCCAGGCGTTCCCAGGAGCCGGAGCTTCTCCTTCACCTTTTCCTTGATCAGCATCATGTTCTCTACGATCTCTTTTAGACTCAGCTTCCTGCCGAGGACGGACAGCAGGGAACGAGAGCATGAGGCTACCCTCCCAGTCCGCTTGGAGACCTCCAGGTTGCCTTTCCCTGATCGACCTCGCACAGCCTGAGAGTGCAGCAGGGGGTCTGGGATCCAGGGTGGTCCTCAGGGTTGATCCTGCCAGAGTGTGCACCGTGAGTCTCCCAGACGCGCATGCTCGCCAGAGCAGCGTCCTCACCAGCTTCTGGAGCTGTTGGGAGGTGGCAGGCCTTTACGAGGTGGGGCCCGTGGGGAGAAGATAGGTCACCAGAAGAGACCCCAGGAGGTGCTGGCATGCTGACCCTCCGTCCTCTTCCCGGACGTGAGTAGCTTGTTCCACACATCTGCCAGGACCTGGTGCTTCACCACAGGTCCAAGCAACAGAGCAATGACCTGGATGGAAAGCTCCAAAGCTGTGAACTGGGAGAAACCATTCCCCTTCAAGCTGTAGATCTCAGTAACACAGCTCCCGTATTAACTAAGCACACGAAGCAGAATTATGGGCAGTGCTTGCTGGAATGGCAAGCTCCTGCTACTTCCCAGTCGCTTTCTGCCGTCTGGAAGTATTCCGCTAGCTCATTGCCTAGCTCTACAGTAAGTGCCCGGCTGCCACTCGTCCAAGATAGGGCAACCCCTGCATAGCTTTGGCCCGTGGTTCTGACAGGCCCTCATTAAACTTGATGAATGAAAGGAAACAGCGCCACATGGGCAAGGAGGGAAGTGGCCAATGTCCATCCCCAGCCTCCGCCCTTACCACTCTTCCTGCAGCACAGGGTTACAGAGGATGGTAGTGATGATACGAGACCCCCTGGCAGGAGGGCTCAGCCACAGAGCCTGGGCGTAGCTCATCAGCTGGGACAGGACGCACAGCAACTGCTTGTTGCTCAGTGCCACGGCCACGAGGACACCCACACCTTCATCTGTGGGGCGAGGAAGGCAGTCACCCTCAGCGCCCGCCTCCAGGACCAGGCCCTCACCTACACCCTCCCCCACCGTGCGGAACAGAGGTTGAGCTCTGGAGACTTCACCCCGGTCCGCGTTGGCATCTGGCCCCAGGAGTCCCCAGGGCCTCTTCTGGGAAATGTTCTCAAAAACAAGGACGAAGGGATCTGAAAGATCACTAAGTCCTACCCGCTCATCTCCCCGTCCAGGAAACAGATGCCTGGGGTGGGGCTGGGTGAAATGACAGCCAACGCTGGGTCAGGTAGCTGGTTTTAATAAGAGAAACTTTCGTTTGGCTCACACTTCTCCCTCTGCCTCCACCACGCTCTCTGGAGCCCCTGGGCTCCCTCTGAGGACATGTGACAACAGCACTGATGCAGCGAGAGCGGTCCCACTTCTGCCCAGGCCCTCCCTGCTCTTTCTGCCTGGCCCATACCATAAATGCCAAAATTCTTCGACAGAGACTGGCTGCAGAAGAACTCGAAGCCCCAGGATACGAAGTACTGCAAGACTCCAGCATCTTCCTCGAGGTCACCAGTGGATAAACCTTGACAGGGGATGTCAAAAAACGGGAATATCTGCTTGCTCTGGGGAGGAAGGGGAAAGGAAGAAGTGTGAGACGGTCGGAGGTGGCAGCAGGCGGTGAGAGGGAAACCCCAGGGGACACTGCGCTCACCTTCATGGTGGACATCAGCTTTGCCCACTGAGGCCGTGTCAGCCTGCAGTCGACAGGGTTCCCAATCACGAGGGTACAGCCACTTGGCATCTGCTGTGGGTGGAGACCGCCTGGTCAGGCACCTTCCCTACTAAGCGCTCCTCCACATTGGTCCCTGCTAAAAGGCTGGAAGGAAGGAGGGGAGGCCAGGAAAGACAGGCTGTGAGTCGGGGGTCCGGGGAAGCGTCCGAGGGGTCCCTACCTCCACCACATCGAGGAACATGTTGGAGTCCATGCGCCGATGCTCGGGGTCCCAGATGCAGTATTCGCGAACCTTAAAGCCCAAGTCCTGGAAGATGAGTCCGTGACTTTCTGTGGGAACAGCACCCCCGCCCCCAAGCTGAGGTACAACGGAGGAAGGAAGGCGGAGACACCGGAGGAGGGCGATGAAGCCACTGTCCGCCATTCTGCTGCTGCCGGACAAGGACAGCGGCTCCACCAAGAGGTGGGAGTGAGGAGCCGGGAGTCGGCCGCGCTCACCTTTTTGATACGAGATGATGCAAACTGTTTGAGCGTCTCTGCGCCACATCCTGAGGAACTGGGCCCCGAGCTGGAAGGCGCCACTCTCGCCAACCGTGTGAACGCCCCCAGCCTGGGAGCAAAACAAACACGAGTGTGGAAAAAGCAACATCACCTCGGACCCTGGTTTTTCTTTGGGGATCAAAGCCAAGGATGTGGGCGCGCCAAGCCCACGCTCTACCGCTGACTCACACCCCGACCCCTCTTTCTTGAAAAGCTCTGAAGCTGGCAGATGGCGCGGGTTTCGGTTGCGCTCCTGGCTCTGCCCCTTGGGGTGACGCCGAGGACTTTAAACTGGGGCCCCGCCCCGCCCCCTGCAGGTCCGCACCTCCAGTCCCGCGTCTCACCCTGTTCTCCACAATGGCCGGGCTGTACTTGCCAAAGAGGAGCTCCAAGGAGGCCTGGATGAATGATTTCAGGCCGGTGCCCGGAAGGTACTCGTAGACCAGAGAGGGGTCCTGGGTGATCTGCAGTCGGGTCTTGTGCACCACGAGGGAAACCCAAGGGAGGCTGTCCTCTGTCATACAGACTGAAGGGAAACAAAGGCAGCTCCTTTGCTTCCCTCAGGGCAGGGCTCTGCAGATGGAGACCCACCAGGAGTCTGGCCTGGGCCCTCGGGTTTTGAAAAGTTGCGGTCCCTCCCTTTTGGGGGGCACTTCTAGGGACTTCGCACAGGCCTTTGCACTGAGCTATATTCCCCGCCCTTATTTCACTTTGAGGCAGTCTAAGTTGGCCAGGGTGGTCTAGACTTAAGATCCTCCTGCCTCAGCCTCCTAAGTCCTAGTTCTTAGCAGATCCCCAGAAGCCCCTGGAGCAGGGCAGAGAGCACTGTAGGATGTGAGGCATCCTCTGCCTATCTCCCCTCTGAGAATTCTGTGAACAAGCCCGATGCGCCTGCCTGTGCGGGCTTTGGGGGATGCTGTGCACCCCAGGCAGCCACCACATGCAGACCAGGCCTGAACCCAATGCCAGCGATTCACCTCTGTAGACCAGGAACATCTTGTTAGGGTCATCGTCCTGTTTGTAGGCCTTTAACAAGCTGCCTTCCAGCTTGTGGGCTTCGGGCACATCTGCGAACACCGACAGGGTGGACGTGACAGGGGATGTGGGACAGGGACTGGGAGCCTGCTCTTCCTCCATGCCGGGCTGAGGTCCTGCCTCTTCCCAAAGCAGACACTGTGGACGGCTGGTTTCCAAGGCAACAGAACCTGGCCACCCCCAGCCCCTGCCTTCCATCCCTGGAGGGAGGGTCCTGGGGGAGGATGGGAATTCCCAGGCACCCTCATCTCCCCCACCGCCTCCTCAGCCCCCAGTTCTCCCATCCAAAATCCCAAGCCTTGCCTACCAAATGGACAGGTGAGCCGGGAGCCAGGCTGGGCGTCTCCTGTGGAAGCCAAAGTTCCAGGTTACAGAACAATATAAGTCCAGTGACACATTTTTTTAAACTTCTACTTTCCATTCTGCAAAGGGCCAGATAAAAATCCGAGGTCACTCAGCAGGATGAGTGGTTTGCTTGCTTGTTGGGGGTGCTGGGGGTAGAATCAGGGCCTGGAACACACTAGACAAGTGCTCCGCCAGTGAGTGGGGGGCCCAAGCCCCACAGGATAAACGTTAAAAGCTTCTGCTTTCATTTTGCAAAGGGCCCAAGATTTAAAAAGCAATAAAAAGAATGTCCTGTATTCTTCCATAGGGGTTTTCATAATGTAATTTGCAAACTCAGGAAATCCATACTTTTCTTCTTTTTTTAACACTTGAAATTATTTTTATCCTTTAAAAAAGGGTGTAGATGACATTTGATTGCCTATTTTCTGTTGGTGGGTCAGGGCGAGGTGTTGTGACTCGTTCACACTCGCAGTGCACCCTGGAGATAAGGCTGATTTCAGGGACCATGGTGAGAGCTGGCAGGGCTCAGGGTCATTCTTCAGGGATGATTTCTTTAAGTAACACCGAGCCAAGCAGGGTGCGTGAACCCGTAAGTGATGATCGGAGAGTCTGAGGGGACAGTCACCCCTACTAAGTCAGTCTTGCTTCTTGATTTCTTTCTGCTTTTTAATAACTCTTCATTTATTTATGCATTTATTTATTGGTACTGGGGATTGATCCCAGAGCCTTCACACTGAGCTATATCCTCAGTCCTTTGGAGTTTTTAATTTGAGACAGGATCTTTCTAAGTCCCTAACTTGCCCAAGCTGGGTTTAAACTTAAAATCCTTCTGCCTCAGCCTCCAGAGTGTCGGGACTACAGCCATGTGCCACCATGTCCAGCTTAAACAACTCTCTAAATGAGTGTTGTAGACACTGTTAAATTAGCTGTAGATGTGCTTTCCCACCCAATGCACCCAGTGTCTACCTCTTGGAGAAATGCCCTTAGCCCACAGGAGCCCGCTCACCTGCAGACCGCTTGGAAGATTACACCCTCACCTACTGGGGCAACCAAAGACAGCCTGAGACTTGGGTAGGGGGCCAGGGTCTTAGCCCAGCCTTTCCAGGAAATATCCCTGACCCCCACCCTTACTGAAAGTCCTTGTATGCTTGCTAGGAGACTGGCTCCCCTATTTAATCAGTATTTCCTGGGTGACTGTACTTGTCATCTTACTGGTCGGTCATGGCTTTGCCCCACCTCATGCCCACCTTGTAATTTTCCAATGGGTCTTACAGTTTTGTCCCACTTTGTACCCGCCTCACATGGCTTTGCTGTATAAAACATCTTGGAGAAGTGGGGTGAGCGGACAACCCACTTTCCGGTCCCCCTTCTGTCTCTCTTAGAAGCTTCTTTCCCACACTCCCAAAGCCCCCATCAGAACAACCATCTCCTTACCAGCAGTCAGCACAGGTCCGTGGCCCTCAGAGACCCCCAAGGCTGTTCCCTGGCCTCTTCCCTGCTTCTCCGCAGCACACGGCCCTGAGGCCTGCACAGGTGGGGCTTGTGATGGCACAGACAGAGGGGGGTCTTTGGGGTCAGGCAGACCTCGACTCCCAGCACAGCCCCATCCCACTGTATCTCTGTGGCCATAGACAAGTTGTTAAAAACCTTTCCACCTCTGCTGTTCATTTTAAAGACAGTCAACAGTTAATGAGACTGAGTAAGGCCTACGGAAATGGGTGCATTCCTTAGGCGTTTACAAGGAGACAAGAACTATGAAAGTGAGGCCCCGAAGGGAATTCTGGAGTTTATAGTTTGGGTTACTTGGGAAGCCCCCCTGAAATAAAACTGATGTTTGAACATGCTATTGAATTACTTTCCCCAAGGAAACTGCAAGCCCACAAATAATCCTTGGGTTCTGGAGACCATACTCATCCCAGAGGCTGCTGAAATGGAGCAGCCCACACAGGCGCTCTTCCCTTAGGCACTATTGGGGAGGTGCTAGAAGCTAGAAAATTTTTTTTTTTTTTTTTTTTTTTTTGTTTTACAG